TAAACAACAAATGTTAAAAAATTAAATAAGGCTGTTCTACAGGTAGTTGTCAAACTTTTAAGTGCACAACAATCACCAGCTCCAGTAAAAGTGAAGCAGAAAAAGCATTTGACAAAATACAACATCCACTCATGACAGAACTTTCGCAGACTAAAAATATAATGGAACTTATAAAAATGCTTTCCCCTATGATCAGAAACAAGGCAGAGATGTGTACTCTTGACATACCTATTCAACACTGTACTGAAAATCAGCCAGTGTAGTGAGGCAAGGAAAAGATTAGATTAGAAAGGAATACAGATTAGAAAGGAAGAAGTCAAACTGACCCTATTAATAATACACAACATGTGTCTCTACGGAAAATCCCAAGGAATCTACCAAAAAACAAAAATTTCTAGTGAGTATAGCAACGCCAGAGAATACAAGGTCAATGCATAAAAATCAGGTGTATTTCTATACACTAACAATGTACAACTGGAAACCAAAATTTTTATTTTTTTATTATTACTATTATTTTTGAAATGGAGTCTTGCTCTGTTGCCCAGGCTGGAGTGCAGTGGCCCAATCTCGGCTCACTGCAAGCTCCGCCTCCCGGGTTCACGCCATTCTCCTGCCTCAGCCTCCCGAGTAGCTGGGACTACAGGCGACCATCACCAGTACCAGCTAATTTTTTTGTATTTTTTAGTGGACATGGGGTTTCACCATGTTAGCCAGGATGGTCTCGATCTCCTGACCTCGTGATCCACCTGCCTCAGCCTCCCAAAGTGCTGGGATTACAGGCGTGAGCCACTGCACCCGGCCGGAAACCAAAATTTTAAAACAATATGATTTAAAATAGCTCTAGAAGAATAAATTATATATTATGTAATGTAACATATGTCTAAACAAAACGTGTAGCTCTGTATTCAGAAAATCATGAAACACTAATGCAAGAAATTAAAGAACACTTAAATGAAGGGACATGTTATATTCATGAACTGGAAAACTCAATGTGATAAACACAGATCTACTGATTTAACACAATGTCAATGAAAATCCCAGCTAAATATTTGGTAGATGTAAATAAGCCAATTCTAAAATGCATATGGAAAGGCAAAGGAACCAGAATCGCTAAAAACAATTTTGGAAAAAAAGAATAAATTGGGAGGAATCAAACTATCCAGTCTTAAGATTTACTATCAAGCTACAGTAAATATGATATCTTGGTACTGGTGAAGAGATATACACATAGATCAATTTAGCAGAACACGGTACAGAAATAAACCCGAACAAGTGGTGTTGGGGTGGTTGGTCATTCATATGTAAAGAAATATACCCCAACTTAACCATCACGTATTATAAAAAAGTTAACTCAAAATGGATCACAGATTTAAGTGTGAAACCGTAAAACTTCTAGAACAAGAGAAAATCTTCATGACCTGCGGCTAGGCAGGCTTCTTAGAGATGACATCAAAAGCACAATCCAAAAAAGATAATATTGATAAATCAGATGTCATTAAAATTAGAAACTTTTGTAAAGACACTATTAAGAGAATGAAAAGACAAGCTACAGGCTGAGAAGAAATATTTGCAAATCACACATCCAACAAAGGACTTACATCCAGAATATATAAATAGCTCTCAAAAATCAACAATAGGAAAAATATAACCCAATGTAAAACTGGGCAAAGCATGCATACAGACACTACAGCAAAGAAGATATAAGGATGGCAGAGAAACAACAACAACAAAAAGAAATATCTGCTGAACACCATTAGCCATTAGGGAAAAGTAAATTAAAGTCACAATGCTTAGAATGGCTAAAATTTTTTAAAAAATAAGAAAAATACTAAGTGCTGATGAAGATGTAAATAAACTGGAACTTTACATCATTAGTGGGAATGCAAAATGGTACAGATACTACAGTTTGGCAGTTTCTTAAACATACATTTCCCATATGACTCAGTAACCCCACTCCTGGCTTCATACCCTACAGAAATAAGCACAAAAAACTGTACATGAATGTTTATATCAGCTCTCTTCATAAATGCCAAAAAGTAGGGGAAAAAGTCTATCAACCAGTGAATAGATAAACTGTGATATATGCATAAAGTGGATACTTCTGTTAAACAGAAGTAAACAGAAATGAAGTATTGATACATACAACAACTTGGATGAATGTCAAGAGCAATTTGCTAAGTAAAAGAATCAGGTCTCAAATTTTACATACAGCATCAGTTCATTTACATGACATTCTCAAAAAGACAAAAATAGAGTTTTAGTGGTGATGGTAGTTGCCAGTGGTTACAGATATGGTGAGGGGTGATTATGAGGGAAGACATGAGGGGAGTTTTTGGGGTGATGGAACTGTTCTTTTTCTGACTATGGTAGTTGTTATACAAACTATACGTGTGTTGTAATAGAATTGTACACCAAAAATAACAAAATAGCCAATTTTACTGTAGAAACATTTTTTAAAAACTTGTTTTAAAAACCTGGAAACACGACCTCAGTTATAAGGCATGGTCTATAAATGTTATCATTTCTAACAACTGGTTTCTTAGGAAATTTTTTTTAGATTATCAAAACATAACCAATCATTGTTCTTCAACTCTTCAATACTCTGAAATAGTTGGTGGATTCTATAACCTACCAATATTCAGTGAGATTAAGGAATATCTCCAGGGGTTATTCCTATTCTATTTTGATACCTAAGTCCAATTCTACACTGCAAATCCTTGATGCCAGCTGTCTGTTGAGTAGCTACTCTAACCATAAACCTTTAACAACCTTGTACGGTGTACTGGGCACACAAAGGAAAATATGACATGGTCCCAGAAATAGAAGAACTTTCAGTGTATAGATATAGATACAGAGAAATAAGAAACAAAGAGCTACAAGACTTAGGCAAGGCAAACTCTATACTGGAACACAAAATTCATCACCATCCTTCTCCAAGATACAACTCCCTTGCATCCCCTAGCTTTCCTAAGTAAGGACCATTCTGTAAGCTGCAACGAATGAAAACCTTAGAGTAGCTGCTGGCATTTCCCTTTCACGGTCTTGGATATAAGCAATTTATGATCCTCAATGTTTGACAATTATGACAATCAATCAAACAATATTATACTAAGTCGATGTTAGAGATTTGCTTTAAAATACTGAAACAAAAAAATAGGGACGGGGCGTTGATACAAGATTGGCAAATGTTAACAAGGGTTGAAGCTGGGTGATGCTTCCACAGAATTATTTTAGTCATATTACATTTGGCTATGCTTATAAATTTCCGTAGTAAAAACTTAAGGGAAAATTAAAGCTATGAAGCTTATTTGGTTAAACATGGGTAAAAATTCAAAAAGAAGTCTACCGAAGAGGAAAATATTGAAATATTAATATTGTTATTGTTATAGCCTGTGGTTAGCATAATTAATTTTTTTCTTTTACACTTTCTATACTTTCTTAATCTTTTACAATATGCAATCATTTATATAATTAGAATGTGAACCATAAATATTTCAAGTAAAATTAAATTACAGATAACTAAAACAACATCAAAAATTCAAAGCTCATTAACCTTGCTTTCAGGGTCCTCTAGAAAAATCCAAACATGGCCGGGCGCGGTGGCTCACGCCTGTAATCCCAGCACTTTGGGAGGCCGAGGCGGGCGGATCACAAGGTCAGGAGATCGAGACCACGGTGAAACCCCGTCTCTACTAAAAATACAAAAATTTAGCCGGGCGCGGTGGCGGGCGCCTGTAGTCCCAGCTACTCCGGAGGCTGAGGCAGGAGAATGGTATAAACCCGGGAGGCGGAGCTTGCAGTGAGCCGAGATCATGCCACTGCACTCCAACCTGGGGAACAGAGCGAGACTCCGTCTCAAAAAAAAAAAAAAAGAAAAAAGAAAAATCCAAACATGTCTTCTGAAGCTGATACTAAACACATCAAGAACTAAAGCAATGGATGGAAACTATTTGAATTCAAATCCCAGCTCAGGCTCTTACCACCTGGGTGACCTAAACCAGCCTATGCTCTGTGTCTGCTTATCTTTAAGATGAAAATGGTAGTACCCAACCCAGCCTCAAAGGGCTCTTGTGAGGATTAAATACGTTAATTCATATCAAACTCTTAGAATAATCAACACTAAATGTTTAAATACTGTCTTTATTACTCATACCCAAGTACTCCCTCATCCGTTTCTGCATTTATTGAACAAATATCAGGGCATCTTCGAGCAGAATTTCCCAAGGAATGAAGGAAATATCGTCTCCCCTGGAAAGAAAGGATGATAAGTACTACTCAGGTGAGACTCCGCTGCCAAGTGCCAAAGGATCATTCCCTCCTTCTCCCTGCAGCCTTTTTCAAGAAGTCAAGGCTAAAGAAGGAAAGGAGGATGGGAGAAATCAGCACTCCTGCATGAATTACAGCGGACTACCCAGACAGCCGGGAGTGAACCTCTCCTAAAGAAAAATCTCTCACTGATCAGAAAAGGGCCAGGGATACTCTGCAGCTGGAGCTCTGACCCCATCCTGGGTTCACAGACGCTTTCGGGGAACTGAGTGCTTCTCAGAAAATGAAAAAGTGCTAATAACAAGAGACCCATCTTTTACCATCTGTCAGGCTCTGTTCTCTTTTTATTTAACTCTCAAAAGAACTCCATTAGATAGATATTAGTACCATTTTTAAGAAAAAGAAACATAGGCAGAGAGATTAAGATATGCGCCTGTTATTACACTGCTATTAAGTGGCAGAGCTGGCTGATGGCCAGGGGAAAGGGCTGGGGGAGTACAGAACCCAGGAGATCCCCAGTCCCTGCGATGTAGGATCCTGAACTCCCAGCGCTAAGTGGGGATGCGCCAGCCGCCCCACACTGGAGAAGGCTCATTCAAAGAAAACACAAATCCCGCCCTTCGCCGCAAGTGGATTCTCCTCCCCTAGAGCGACTGCCCGGTTGCTACGGGCCCCCAGCAAAAGGAACATCAGTACGGACAGAAGGAGCAGGACGCAGGGCGGGGAGGGCTCACCTTTCTGGGAGGAACGAAGGCCGCGGCCTAGCGTACCTGGGGCGGAAGTGGCTCTGCCTGCAGAGACCTCCTGGACTACGCTTCCCAGAATTCCCGACGGGATCAGGGAGCCGGCCTCAGCCTCCTAGAGCGGAAGTTACCCGACTACACGGGGCTCCCAAACTACACTTACCAGAATTCCTAGAATAACTCTCCACCTCTCTGCCTGCCTGGGACGCAAGTGCAGGCTGCCAAGCTGACAGCCTGGATCATATTTCGCATGTGCGGGTCCCAAAGGAATTCCTTAACTCCCCCTTCCCGGAACCGAAATGCTTCCAAAGACAGAGACCTCGAATATATGTTTCTCTATTTTCCCCAGCGGATCGTGCATGAAAGGCGCCTTTCCTGGCGCGTGTGTCTCTGACCCTGTGGATCTTACGGACAATTCCCGGAATTTCTTGCAGGGCAGCACTTCCCCTTAAGTCGTCTCTTTCTCGTTTGGATAGTCAGTATTTGTATAGTTATTATTCTCTTTTGGTTAGCCGTCTAATTTTCTACTGCTAGTCCAGCTCTACTGCCTTCCCCCTAGAGTTTGAATTTATTTTTTCTTCAAACGCGACACAAACCCAAATAAACTCAACCAAATCGGACTTTATCTACCTACCAACCAAGAAAATATCCCATAAAGGAGAGAACGGAGAAGCTTGCAATACAGGAAGAAAAAAAAAAAGAATTACAGAATGGAAGCGATGTGTGCGCTAAAAATGCAGGTACTGAAAGGAAATTGGGCTGACTTGTACTGGACACCGAATTTAAGGAATACAGGATCTCAACCTTTCTTTGGATTACTTTTTTATTCCATTTTGGTGTGGACGCGTCTGAAACTGATAGTGCTATTGCTACCTACCATACTGTGTTTGTTGATCCACAAGAACGTAGATGCCAAGAATCCACAAAAAACAGATGCAGCCGTTGATGAGGCCGTAAGCAGAAACAGCAAATGGTTCCCACGTTTCCTCTGCTTTAACTACTGATGATGAAATGCGAGTCATAAGGCAAATGGAAGGGCTGTAGTGATACAGATAAAATGTTATTATTATGAGAAGGGATAAGTCCCTTGTAAAATCTTGAAATTTTTTTCTTCTTTGAGAAAAATCTATCACCTATTTTCACCCTGCTGTTGATCTAGCCAACACTGTAAGTTGTCTCATGGAGGACAGGATGATTTAGGGAGGACCGTAAAGGGGTTGACTCAATCAAGAAAAGGAAGGTGAAAATAAAAAGACGTAACGACCAATCTTTGAAAATGCTCAGTGGCTTAAAAGACACTATTAAGAGATGAGACTATTTGATTCTTAACAACTCCTTTCCAAGGAAATGTTTTTGAAAATACATATGGTTTACCTATTAAAGAGGATCAATCTGATAATAGGTGAGGTGTTGTTTTTTTTTTTTTTATAAAATGAAAGGGAAATTTAAAAATACAAGGGACAGAATAATACTTTGTGTACTTCCACTTCCAGTAATAATAAAACTAGTGATTTGGAACAAACATCTGGCAGATGAAAAGTTAGCAAACTTTTTAAATGTCAAAAGGCATTAAAAGACAAGATAATGGAGAAATGGTGGGTCAAAATTCAGAAACAGTTGGGACAGTCATGCATTTGGGGCTACTTTTCTCCTGGGAATGAATGGTCTAGTCTAGGATCTGAAAAGCCCAGAAGCTCTGCAGCAATTTTGACACCTATGTGAAGCTGGGGGAACAAAAGATTCTAGCAAAAACTAAAATGCACATCTTTTCAAGCACGCATAAGATTTGTACAAATGAGTAAAATGATACGGGATTTCAAAATACTGAAATACTAAATGTGTTTTTGAATACAATGAAATTTGGCTAGAAATCAATAAAAACACAACTAAATGATTCATGTGTGCATTTAATAAATATTGTCTCATCTCCAAACCCACCATTTTTCACTCTGCTTTACAGGGCTGGAATGGCGGAATCTGCAGCCAATCTTTCCCTACCTCCACACCCCCCATCTGGTTCTGTGTTCGGCAACTATTAGCAGAAGAGTATAGGGGTGGTGGGGGCAGGGAGATATACTATATCCTGTGCCTGCCAGTCAACAGTACTTTTTCTTGTAGCAGCTGCCTAATTTGCAGTTTTTCTAACACTTGAATAACCAATTTCATCATGGCTTCTTGTAAACATTATTAAACAACTTCCCAAAGATTGATCCTTAGTTGTCTAAGTCCTGAAACTGCAGGGCCCTGCTTCTGAGCTCAGAGACAGCAGAACCAGCCAAACACTGGCCTCTCCTCAGAGGCCTGAGTTTCAGAAGAGCATGACCTTCCTCTAGACTTCTAAGTTTTAGTAATTCCTGTCTCTTCACTTTGTTTCCGCAGACCTCAGGTGGTTGCTGCTTGCTGCAGGTGCTACTTCCAGCAGTTGCTACTTGTATCATATATTAGAGTTCTTTTTCTGCTCTTTCAGAAATCTAGCTACCAACTCTGTAATACATGAATTTTTCTTTTCAAATAATTGGTAAGGTTTCTATCTCCTCAGTGGACCCTAAATTATAAACTGTGTTTGGAAATTAATTAAAGCACTTTTAAGTAAGCCACAGATAAAAGAGTATGGCATTGAAATCTGGTGTCATCGGTGAATTCTACCAAATATTTAAAGAAGAAATCATGTTCATCTTAAAATTATTCCTGAGAATAACAAAATAGGAAACACTTTCCAACTAACTTTATGAGGCCACTATAATAACACTGACACAATTTGTGAGAGGCTTCATTAGATTAGAAAAATGACAGGTCTGGCTGGGCGCGGTGACTCATGCCTGTAATCTCAGCACTTTGGGAGACAGAGGCAGGCGGATCACGAGGTCAGATCAAGACCATCCTAATACAGTGAAACCCCGTCTCTACTAAAAATGCAAAAAAAAAAAAAAAAAAATTTGGGGGGCGTGGTGGCACACACCTGTAGTCCCAGCTACTCCGGAGGCTGAGGCAGGAGAATCGCTTGAACCCGGGAGGCGGAGATTGCAGTAAGCTGAAATGGTGCCACTGCACTCTAGCACTCTAGCCTGGGTGATAGAGCGAGACTCCATCTCAAGAAAAAAAGAAAAAAGAAAGAGATAAAAAGAAAATGACAGGTCTATCTCATCATAAATACTAACTTGCAAAAATCCTGAACAAAATGTCGCCAACAATATATAACAGGGTAACACATCATGACCTAGGTATCAAAAACTGAAAAAAAGAGTTTGATTAAATTCATCACCCATTCATCACGAGAAAAATTAGGCAACTAAGCAATAATAAAGATCTACAAAAATGGCAACAAATATCAAAAGGAACAGTGAAATATTGAAAACATTTCCTCTACGACGGGGAAGAAAATAATGATGTTCACCCCAACCATTTCTACTAAATACCACATTTGCTTCTTTATCCTTCAATCTTGCCAACTAATCTAATTAATTTTAATAATTTATGCATAGATCTTTTGAATTTTACATGCACTCTCATGTTGACTTCAGAACTGCAACAAATGTGGCACTGCAGCGCCATGGGAACAGGGCAAATATTCAATACATGTTGCTGTTAAATTGAGTATTGTGAAATAAAACTGAAATTGACCTATACCTCCGACTATATGCAACAATCTAAGGCTGGTGGATTGTAGAGCCCTATTTGAAAAGCATTTCTTATGACACTTTAAATCTACTCAGTGTATAAACCCATAAGAAATGTGTACCAAAATACACATATAAGAATGTTCATACAGCATCATTCATCACAATGACTTGCTGAGAATACTCCAGATGTCTATCGATGATAGTATGGATAAATATTTTTGTTATTTACACAAGGTAAGAGCAAGGACATTGAACAAACTTTAGCTGTACATGCAACACCATGATTACTCCCATAAATATGTTGAGCAAAATAACTAGACAAACCCAGTAGATGCAGTGTGATTCCATTGGTACAAAGTTCACTAGACATGCAAAATTCATCTGTAGGATGATTTTGGACATTTAAATAGTAAAAATATAAAGAAAAGCAAGGGAATCTTAAAACTTAGGGTAGTGGTTTCTTTTCATGGGGAAGAAAGCATCATGATGCTGTGAGAGTGGGGTTTTTGCAATTCTACCATGCTTCATTTTTTGTTGTGGGGGGTGATTATACACCTTTGTTCATTTTATGTTCATGCTTTCACATGTATATTTATGATTTTTAGACACTTTTCTGAATGTGAGTGACATTTAAATCTGTAAAAAAAAAAATGATATATGACCAACAAACTGTGGTACATCAATACAATCAAGTATTATTCAGCCATAACAAGAAATCAGATATGAAGTTATGAAAACACATGGAATAACCTTAAATGCATATTGTTAATGGAAAGAAGCTAATCTGTCAAAGCTACATACTGTAATTCAATTATATGATAATCTGGAAAAGGCAAAACTAAAGGTCAGTAAAGTTATCAGTGGTTGTTAGAGGTTCAGGGGTGGGAGATTGATTGGTAGAGCACAAGGTATTTTTAAGCAGTGACACTATTCTGTATGATATGGTATGGTGGATACAGGACATTATGCTTTGTCAAAACCCATGGAATGTACAACACAAAGAGTAAGCCCTAATGTAAACCACAGACTTTAGTTAGTAATAATGTATCGATATTGGTTCATTAGTTGTAATAAATATGTCACACACACGCAAGATGCAAATAATGGAAGAAACTGGGCAGGGGAAAGGAGAGTATATGGGAAATATTAATACTTTCTCTGCAATTTTTCTGTAAACCTAAAACTGCTCTTAAAATAAAGTCTATTTTTAAAAATCAATGATATGCTTCAAAGGAAACTGAATACATGGCATAGAACTTTTTTCAGAACTTAGAGGCAAGGGCTAAAAATAATGAGAAACTCTATAATGAATATAAGCATATTGATCAGGTGTATCTTATAAGCTAATGAGAAAAAATGAGGATTAGAGAAGGAAGCAGATGGTAACAAATAAATCATTAAGAGAGAATAAACAATTTATCCTCATGGGCAAAATCACATATTGGAAGGAGGAGAAGAAGCTGGAGGAGAAAGGGGAGGAAGGCGAGGGTGTGTAGGAGAAGGAGAAGTAGGAGGAGGAAGAGTAAGAGTAAAAGGAGGAAGAGACTTGTAGAGATGCACTTGTACACATTG